GGTTTGAGAGAAAATTTGGAATTTGACCAAAAACTTTGAATAAAATAAGAAATAACGAATAATATGGAAAATTTTTAACTGACTTTTGGCAGTGAATATGCCTTGATTTCAACTTCGAAACAAAAAAATATTTAGTTTCAATCTCTATTAATAATGAGCGTAAAACTTTTTAATATGTTTAAATAATAATTAAAACTTTAAAATTGCATTTATTTCAGACAATTATAAATATTATCATTATATTATCAAGTAAAAACGAGATTTTCAGCTAATTTTTCATTTTTTCCTCGATAACCATTTAGTGAATTTGAATAACCTTACGCTAAAGTGATTCTCCAGAGTTCAACTTACTTATTATAAAAGTTTGAAATTTCTGGTAGTTTTCTTTCTGTTAATAAAAATTAATTTAATCGGTTCGGTTAACGAATTTCCATAAAATGACGTGTAAAATTACAATTTTTTAAAATCTCAATAACTTTTTAACGGTTTAGTGAATCGATTTGTAATTTTTACAGGAGTTTTAGAATTGAATGAACAACGTTCTTCCAAATTTTTATTTGTCTCGTAGCATTTTGACATACCTCCCAAGCATCCTTAAGTCTCAGTCCCATCTAAAATCGCAGTATTACCTACTGGTAATGTGTTACTTGTTGTTATTCAGGTACCTATAAGTAGGAACGTAAAATTCTGAAATGCTTACCTAATATCTTCTTCACTTATCTTGTAATTTCAAATTTAGGCCACATTTACATTGAAACAGCAAGTTAACATCACTAATATTCGTTAATTGTATTTGTCAAGCCGTTTAAAAACTATTCACCGAAAGCCACCGGTAAAAATGGAAATGGCCGCCTAAATAAAACAGAATCGTCTCGATAAAACTTGGCTTCGCGTTTGTATGGTTCCCGACAATAAATTCGTTGAGGTTAATTTATATAAGTTAAAGCGAAACTATATTTAAAAATTAATTTATAATCACATCATCAAGTTCTTGCAAGATATTCTGTAAAACACGCGATAACAAGTACTATATAATAAATGCTCACTTTGGCTCAACAAACAACAAACAGTAATGTTCTGCTATCGTTTATCTAATACATCGCATGGTCTCGGCATGCGAACTTACGCGATAGTTATTTATAGAGATGATTTATATGTCGCGATAATGAAAAGAACGGAGAGCCATCTCTGTTGTTTTATCCGAACTGTCAGGAAAATGGTGGCATTTAAATTCAAATAATCATATTATAAACTTATTAAGTGCTGCTCTTCATATTCACATATCAAACGAAGATTTTATTACATCTAAATACTTTTTATTGATGAATTCACAGAGAAATACGTACCTTTATTTTATGATTATTAGGGTTTAGTGACACTGAATTGAGAGATTCCTAAAACGAAGAATAATGAACAGATTATAAATCGGTTTAAGCATTTTTCCCAATAGGGTTGATGTGATACAAGATTGAAATAATAAAGTTAAGAAGTTTCTGCATATTGAGATTTATGCGTTTACTTGAAATTGATGAATTATAAAGTTGAAATTAACCAGTTTGATGCATTCAGAAATGATGTTTTATCTATCATTTCAAAGAGCATTGTGGGGGTCCATTTAAAACAAAAGAATTGTGAAATTTCAACTTAATTGCCCTTCAACATATTAAATAAATATAGTACATTAATTGATTCGGGTTTAAAGGTCGTTGTGGGTTGTAGTTGATTCATAACGTTTCGCTAGCTATATCCAGCTTCAGAGATGGAAGGTACTCTGAAGAAGCTCGCCACTTGCACTTGCGAAACGTTAGGAAGCATTTCTAACCTTTAAACCCGAATAAGGTAGTAACACCAGTTCACCATAGTACATTAAACATTTATTCACCTAAGAGCTCTGATTTCTGTTATTCCAATGAAAGGAAGTGGCATTGATTGATCATTGCATTTGAAACAGTTAATGTAAAACAAAAGGAAGTTATTAACATTAATACGTATTTTCGTAACCCTGCAAAAGTACTTCAAATAATTTTACACAATGATGGAACAGTAAGGATTTCCACGAGAGCCCTGGCATTCATCCTGCCAAGACTGAGAAATGTTCTCCAAAAAAACGTTCAGCGCGGACCAGAACATTACATTTCCTTGTCACAAAAACGACAGGAAGAACTGATGGTTAATCCTGGTTTATTCCTGCAGTATCGTAGTTGTTCGTGACGTGTAAGGGTTTCCATGAGAGTCCTGTTATTCCAATGAAAAGGGAGTAAGAGGCTTGATTGAACATTGCATTTGCAATAGTTAATGTAAAAGAAGAAAGTTATTAACATTATTATTATTATACGTATTTTCGTAACTCTGCAAAAGTACTTCAAAGAATTTTATACAAGGATAGAACAGAAAATTCTAGAATGTTCAGATATTAATAAAGCCAATCCAAATATAATCAAAATCGCAGCAAAATTGGTTAGGTTTTCCTCAAGAATTTTTTTTTTACACATGCACCTCCACTCTTTCCTATACTGAGCCAATCTTCGCACTTCCTTAAACTAGAACATACCACATCCTTAACTATTTATGAGTAGTAATCTAATCTAAGTCCACCTCCTCTTAACTCCTCTATATGCTTCTAATATGTCGCTAACTAGCCCTTTATTCCTAAGAAGGAATTTTTTATTGACTTCCATAGTGCTTTCTGTTCTCCTACTGTTTCTAAAATCTTCTCTATCCACGGTAGCCTCACCATTCGCCTATAGCACCATATGTAGAATACTTCCAGCCTATCCTTTTTTAACGATCCTTTTCGAAGTTCTAAATTAACCGTTCGTTAACATAGAAGTGACTTTTTATTAAAGACGACTCGATCGTGTGCTATTATATCTCTACTGCTCCTTCCATCCTACATTATCTAACTTCCTAGATACCGATAATCAGCGACTTTCTCTAATTTTGTCGTCTCCTATCTTTGTATTAACTCTTTCCCTACTTTTTCTTCCCCTGTCTACCAATGTTTTTGTTGTACTTTAATCTATATTCATACCATACTATTTTATCAATACCGCATCCATTTTATTTAAATTTATTTCTAACTTCTCCTTGCTCCTAGTTATATTGTCTAATACATTCCGCTAGTCCGTCTGAATATGAGTAATTTCTTGTGTCTTTCAATAAAGTCCAAAGTTGAAATCCCAAAATCTAATTCGATTTTATTTTTTTTTTCTTGAGTGGAGGAATCCTATTCAGGACGACACCCATAAGCAAAGAATCAGGAAGAAAAACCGCTACCAAACAGTATTACAACAACGATTTACGTACAACTGTTATTTTTTTAAGTACGTATATACTTATTACAAAACAAACATAGAGAAAGGAAACGAATAAGTATGAACGAATGTACAAAACGTCAAGTTCATGGTCAGGTGTACAGGGCCGGCCTGAGGCGATAAAACAGGTGTCGCTTGAGGTCGTCTCCCAATGCCGGACATAGCATAACCAGTTCCTCTTTTCTCAAGATGACATAAATGGTCAACGTTCATTTAATTAAGCATAACAACATTCCATTGAAAAATGTGTCTGCTTCATAATATAATTGTATTTGGACGAGATTACTTTTTATATTTTGTCAAACACCTACACCAAAATTGCTAATCAGGTTCTCAGTAACAATTAAAAACAAAAGTAGGTCTTCTATTGTGTAAAATTAATCAATTGCTATGTTAATTGAACATAATTAATTTAAACGAAAAAAAAAAACATCGCGAATACTTTCACCAAAAATTTATTTATTATAAAAAATTTCTAGCAAGTTTCGATCACGCGACCATTCTCAAAGAAATGTAAGTAGATATATAAACTGGGACAGCCCTATTTATTATTGCTAATCATGAAGAAAAGCGAGTAAAGATGAGTCTATAAAACTTAATTCTACTTAACTATTTGCATGGATCTTATTTAAGTGTGAAAACCTTTTTGAGTTTTAAGCTTTCCAAAATTTGCTACACATATAAGTTAGTGTCGGTATAGCATATGTGTTGATTGTTTTCAGCTTGTTTGTAGCAGATAGAAGTATTCTAATTATTTTGAATAACATTTGCGTGTGTTTGTTAGTTAACTATTGTTTATTTTAAAATTTTCCGCTTCGATAAAACGTGACAGTCAATTAAGCTTTCGGCGCGGGTAAAACTTTTCATTTCCTGCCAACACTGAGAAACATTCTCCAAAAAAAGCCTTCAGTGCGGGCCATAGCATTACCTTTCCTAGTCACAAAAACGATTGGAAGAACTGATGATTAATCCTGGTTTATTCCTACAATATCGCAGTTCTTCGTGACCTGTAAGGATTTCCACGAAAGTCCTAGCATTCTTCCTGCCAAGACTGAGGAATGTTCTCCAAAAAAGTGTTTAGCACGGGCCAGAACATTACATTTGCTCGTCACAACAACGATAGGAAGAATTGATGGCTAATCCTGGTTTATTCCTGCGGCATTGCAGTTCTCTTCAACGAATGTCTTGGTATTCTTTCTGTTAAGGCTGAGAATTGTACTCCTTCGAGATCAAAATTTGACAATTATTTCCAAATCTCTTGCTAAAATTGATTAATTCTTATAATTCAGTGATAGGTCCTGTTCATCACTTTAAAATTAATAAAGTAAATAATCACAAGAATAACGAATGTTGGAGTTTAAAGGACAGAAATTTTTGTGAAACTGCTCGTTCTTAAAATCCTGAGTTCGCCCCTGAAATAGGGTAAATATTTCAATAAAAATTGAATGGTTTGCACAGTTAGATAATCGATATATTATCGTTTATCGATGTAAAGGTATTCGAGCGTTGACAATTCTGTTATTACTGAAACATTTACTTAAAGAAATAACGGTTAAAAGAACCCAGATAAAGGCAAGAAAAGCATCATTTTACTGTACGCTTGATCAATTCGAGTTAGTTACGGTCTGCAAAAATTTAATGTTTGAAGCTGAAGTTAATCTAACGTCCAAAATCTGCGGGTCTGGTACTCACAGAACCTCGTTTTACTTCAATTCACTGTTATAAATTGTTGATTGTTTATGTATTAACTGATACACGAACGTGGATCCAATTCGAATCTTCGTTTGTTCATTACAGTGAGATGTAAGATTGTTGGAAATCAAATCAAAAACAATGTACATTTGATATGTTTTGTGATTTGATTTTGAATTTACGAATGCTCCAGAATTTTCACATTTTGTTTTGGGGATATCCATTTTTCGTATTCCGAGCTAATCTTCATCCCAGATTTTTAATCCAATCTAGATCTACCTCTACTCCTCTTAACTTCTGTTTCTGCTTCTAATATGCAGGGGCGGCTTTTGGGGGTGGCGAACAGGGCAACCGCCCGGGGCCTCGCTCTTGTAGGGGCCTCGCACTCTCGCGCAACAATCTAATTAGAAAAATATTAGGTAGTAGTAGTACATCTTACTAATGTTTATTTGAATTTCTTAATAGTCTTAAAAGAACCCGCAAATTTGCTATCTTTGTCTTTATAAATTTTTTTTAATTTTCGATAAACAATTTAATTATGAATCACTTTGCATTTTTCAAGTATCATCATTAAAATTAATTCCACAAAGACGAGGGCCTCGCAAAAATTTACCCGCCCGGAACCTTCCAATGACTAAGGCCGCCCCTGCTAATATGTCTTTAACAAGCTTTTCACGCCTGACAATGTGTCCTACCAAACTATCTCACCCATTTCTTATTGACTTCCACGATAGCGCCCTCTGTTCTCCCATTCTTTCTAAGACATCCACATTTCTAACTTTCCCTACACCCCTCTTCAGATATACACCTTTGACAATCTTTTTCGAGTTTCAAAATTAAGCGTTCGCGAGCATAGAAGTGACTTTTTTTTCTTAAAAGACCCTGCGCTCTATCAGAAGTGTAAGGTAGAGGCAGTTAAGACTCTCATGAACCTCAAACATGAGCTACATAGTGACAAAAAACATCAGCTACCGCTGTTTGCAGTTAATCTGGAGTAATCTCTGGTTGTATAGCGACGTACAAGTGATTAAATAATAGTCGAGTCAATGTTTTCGTAATGTACAGTAGGAATGAATGAATAAGGTTCGCCTCCTCGATATGAAGACCCATGTTTTTTTGAACTAGCTGTACATGTCGCAGCCATTACAAACATTTCGCTACTTTCAATATTTCTTAGGTGGGTTCTTTTCGTAATTGAATTTGCTGCTTAATGCAATTACAACTTTCAATTAAGTTTCGTTAAAATGTGTTATTACCGTAAAATAAGATTCGTTCACCACTAAATGAGATGCATTGTGTGGATGTTACGTTCTTGTCCCGCTTGAACCTAAAAGCCGATCAAGGTGGAAGAAAGCGTAAAGGCAGATTCACACGTCATGCTACTGCGGTGTCCTTTCGTTGTCCATCTAATGCCTATATACGTACACAATTATTCACACATCATATAACATCGTTCACTCGACGTTATATTAGTTAGCTTGCATTTAAATACTGACCTTTTCGATTTAATTACTGGTCACTACAGGACCAAACGAATACTGATTTAAATATTCAACAAAAGCATACGAGGTCTGTTAGAAAAGTATCGTGATTGTTGTGTTTTTTCAAAAATTATTTATTTATTCATGAATATCTATTTTAAAATAATTCGAAGTGGTCTGTATTCTGTCGAAACTGCCAGACGCGGATCGCGATTTCGATCCTTTTGGATCTCATCAGCGCATTTCAGGCAGCTCCGACAGAACACAGACCAACTTTTACTTGCTGTCTTAACAGTGCGTTTTAGAAAATACTACAAATGGCGCAGTAAACGCCATCTGTTACACGATGCTACATTTTAGGATTACGTATGGAGCATTTGTAGTAATATCTATTTAGTTCCCTTCAAAGTAATCCCTACCAGATATTATACACTTGTGCCAACATTTCTTCCAATCCTCGAAGTACTTCAAAAAATCATTTTTTGTGATCTTATTCAACTCCTCCTTCGATACCGTCTTTATCTCCTCAATCGTAGCGTAGCGTCGTTTTTTCATGGACTTCTTCAGTTTCGAGAACAAGAAAGACACAGGGGGGCCAGATTTGGGGAATACGGCGGCTGCGGCATTATTAGTGTGTTGTTTTTGGCGAAACATTCGCACACAAGCAACAATGTGTTAGCAAGGGCGTTATCATGGCGCAAAAGCCAATTTTTGTACTTTCACAAATCCGGGCGTTTCTGGAGGGTTACTTCGCGCAAATTGCGCATAACTTTCAGGTAATGTTCCTTATTATCCGTTCTACCCTGTGACAAGAACTCATGATGCACCATGGCCCTGCAATCGAAAAAAAACTGTAAGCAAAACCTTCACATTCGCGCTTTTTTCGGTGTTTGCTCGAGCAGTAGCTTCCATTGGGATGATTGAGCTTTGCTTTCTACGTCAAAACCATAAACCCATGATTCGTCACCAGTTATCATGATCCTCTGGAGCAAATTTGGGTCGTCGCGGACAACAGAGTCCAACAGCTCCTTAGCAACGTTAATGCGATGTTGTTTTTGGTAGAAATTGAGCAATTTTGGTACGAATTTCGCGGCGACTCATCTCATGCCCAAATCATTGGTAAATATGGAATGGCAGGAGCCAGTTTAAAAAATTATGTCCTCAGCAACTTCTCTGACGGTGATTCGACGATTGGGCAATACTATCGGGTTGTTCGGAAAGTCATTTCATTTTTTTTTTGTGGAAATGAAAGACAGTTTTCGTATAATAAACAAATACTTTATTAAATTATATATTGACCGTTCTGGTCCAACACCTTTTGCCATCTTTCTGGTAGTAGCATAATTCCACGCTCATAAAATTTTTGGTCTTTGCTGGCAAAAAACTGATCGAGGAGGTTTTTGACCTCCTCATTTGAGGTGAAGGTTTTACCGTCTAAAAAATTTTGGAGTGACCGGAACAAATAATAATCCGATGGTGCCAGGTCTGGAGAATATGGTGGGTGTAGCATTGTATCCCATTCAAGCTGTAAAAGCTTTTGGCGAGTGACCAAACTTGTGTGAGGTCTCGCGTTGTCTTGGTGAAACACTACACCTTTCCTGTTGATTAGTTCTGACCTTTTCTGTTGAAGTGCATCATTCAGTTTGTCCAGCTGATGACAGTAGACTTCCGAATTAATCGTTGTGTTATCCGGTAAAAGCTCAAAAAAAACGATTCCTTTAAAATCCCACCAAACAGACAGCATCACCTTTTTTTGGTGAATATCGGCTTTGGAAATGGTTTGAGCCGGTTCATCTTTTTTGCTCCATGACCTCTTGCGTTTGACGTTGTTGTATACAACCCATTTTTCGTCCCCAGTGATGATGCGCTTCAAAAACGGATCATTTTCGTGACGTTTGAGAAGCGAATCGCAGACGTCAATGCGGCGACACAGATTTCTCTCTGTGAGAACATGGGGAACCCATACATCGAGCTTCGAGGATAATCCCAGGCCTTTCAAGTGGTCATAAACTGTTGAATTTGATAAATTTAACCTCAATCCGATCTCACGTGTTGTTATTCGCCGGTTCACATCAACTAATGCCTTTATCGCGTCTTTATCAGCTTCAACCGGCCTTCCCGAACGTGGTGCATCTTCGACATCAAAATTGCCGGATCGAAATTTAGCGAACCAGTTCTGGCACTGGCGTACTGTCAACACACCTTCTCCATACACATCAGTCAATTTCTTTCTGGCTTGAACAGCATTTTTACCCTTTCTGTAGTAAAACAGTAAGATATGTCGAAAATGCTGCTTATCGCTCTCCATATTTAAAAGGGCACCAACCAAAAACTACTGCGTAGAATTAAATGGAATTTTTCACACACAAGCCTTGCTATATGAGCTCTCAAAGCATATAAAAATTATACGGCTTAAATGTGAAGTTGGGTGCAAAAGACTACAATTAAATCCTCTGTCGGGAAAAAAACGAAGACTTTCCGAACAACCCTATATTTTCTTCACTTCATCAATGTTTTCGTCTGTTGTCGACATGGTCGGGCGTCCGGAACGCTCTTTGTCTTCCACATTTTCTCGGCCCTCTGAGAACATTTTGTACCACCGATAAACGTTGCTTCAGTCCAAGGTAACTCCACCATATAGGTACCACAACATTCGTCCGCGCACTAAATTTTGTTTTTCACACAAAATTTGATACAGATCCTTTGATCTACTTTTTGGAATAGGCAAAAGTCGAAGACAAGTCAAAACATGTGCAAGAAAAATAACTGCCAAAAATTAACTGAACATTCAACATGGCCGAACTTGTCGGTATAAGTGAGAGACATGAGTACCAACATAACGCCACAAAAGAATCGATTGTGCGTAACCCACGGATACTTTTTAAACGGACCTCGTATGGTATTATATATTACAATGAGACTTGAATGTTTCCTTTTTTATTGTTTCAGACGAACGTAGGACCGATTCTGTTGTGCGTCAATCCATACCGCGACGTTGGCAACCCATTGACGTTAAGCAGTACCAGAAACCTTCCACTCAGTTCCCAACTTAACAAGGTGGTCCAGGAAGCAGTCAGACAACAGTCAGAGACTGGTTATCCGCAGGCTATCATTCTTTCTGGTGAGAGCCGTGTAATAAACACAACAACGCGGACTCACTCTAGTGGTCCGACGGTCGTACCTGCGACGCTCATTTACTTAATATTCCTGTTCTTTTTCTTCTTATTGTTAAAGGAAATAAACGACACTCGTTTTTAACGACAACTTTTTAGATTCTGTTTAAAGGTGTGCTACAAGTAAAAGAAAATGCAACAAAGTCGTCGGTCGATCAGAATGGCCACGGGGTTCAAACCGAGAAAATTCTTATTTCTGTATCTTTATTCGGCAGAAAGAAAGTTACTATCACTAAATGGTATAAAACAAAGTCGCTTTCCCGCTGTCTGTCCCTATGTATGCTTAAACCATTAAAACTACGCAACGGATTTTGATGCAGTTTTTTTTAAAGATAAAGTGATTCAAAAGGAAGGTTTATATGTATAATACATGCATAATATAGTAAGGAAACATTGATAATTTTAGAGGTTTCTAATCTGATGTAAATAAACACATTTTTTCCGCTTACATTGCAAACGCTGGCTGAACCCTACGAGATAGATCAAAATAATGTACTACAATATTGTACATCTTAAAAGGGTCTACAAAAAAGTCCGCGATGGTATATGTCTATCGCTTAGGGATAACCCACAATAACCATTTTTATCCTTTACTTTTTATGAGAAATAATGACTTATNAAACGCTGGCTGAACCCTACGAGATAGATAAAAATAATGTACTACAATATTGTACATCTTAAAAGGGTCTACAAAAAAGTCTGCGATGGTATATGTCTATCGCTTAGGGATAACCCACAATAACCATTTTTATCCTTTACTTTTTATGAGAAATAATGACTTATTTACGAAGCGATTGTAAGCAATACAGCATTAACTCTTATCCAATTAAGTACCTTAAATACGTTGTGCATTTAATATAGATTAATATGGCCCTTTACAGCATGTAATTTAAATTAAAATTTTCGAGGATATTACAGATTTAAAGTGCAGGGACATAGCGGTTGCGGCGGCACCGACCGAGAGGCCGGTTTGTATTGTCTAATGACACAAAAACTGTGAATGTTGTATATAAAAACATTCTGTAGTTTATTTAGTATGTTCAAGGGGTATCTTTTGAAGATTTCCCCTTCTCGATAATAATCAATAAAACTGTCGCATTCTTCTTTCAACTTACTAACTAGACTAGAGCGGCTACTGACAGAACACCTACTTTTACTCACGACAGACTATGTAGGGAACATCGTAAACATAGAAAAGAGATGCCAGGTAGGAATTGCAGCGGACACGTACAAAGAAAATGGAATAACGTTACACCAATTAATGTGTAACAGAAAGAGATGAAAACAAGCAGAATTTGAACATGTTGCTAGCATCGGACTTAAATGTTCAATAAGCTCAAGAATTTAGGAAAGCAAAGACGTTTGTTTAAGGATATAATTCTAGCCAGGCAGTTATAAAGCCGACCCTGATTTTTTGCGTACCTAGAGTACACCTCTTACTATTATTCGGTTATCTCTTTTCACTTTGTCTGTACGACTCATGAAGCATTTTCTAACTTAACAAGGACGTGTTCAAAACACAGCAAATGACTACAGTCTCATGTGGAAACAATAAAGAAGATACGTCCATTCTCACAGATAATTACCCTTTCTGGCTCCGATTTGTTGTAATGTTACTACAAGGAGAAGAAATGGAATTACTGATTTAAATTTACAATAGACTTACGATTAGCTACAGAAATAATACTTATTAGTTCTGAAAATTTACCTTTCATCAACACCACTGCTGTAGGTAGCAGCTTATGCTATCGTTGTTGTTCGCTGTTGTCTCTCGATTATTCCTTTCCATTTTGCACTTTGTATTGTTTCGTTTCAGGTACTAGCGGTTCGGGAAAAAGTCATGCTTCGATGTTGTTGTTACGACAACTTTTTGCGGTGGCGGGCGGAGGCCCTGAAACCGACGCCTTCAAGCATTTGGCGGCCGCTTTCACGGTCCTTAGGTCCTTGGGTTCAGCTAAGACTGCTACCAACTCCGAATCTAGCCGCATTGTAAGTTCACTCAATTTTGATAACGTATTTTTTAATATTTGCTGTTAAAATACCTTAATTCCTTTTCAATGTTCGGAGCCTGCAACTTTATTAAAACGAACTTTATTGTTAGTTAAACACTTTCCCAGATTTATCCGAACTTCTTGTAGCGGTCACGGTATATATCCGAATCCAGAGTTGCGTCTAGTGATGTCATTAGACGCAGCCCTGTGTTTGTGATTAATACAAATTTTAAAAACTAAAATTGCTAATAATATGAAATTTTAAGGGCATAGTGAAAATACTGAGTAGAGATTACACAAAATCGTATAAAAATCGAAAAACAAAAAAAATTTCGGAGCAAGCCCATTAAAACTATTGTTCATCTTAAACTTAAGCGACGTCCTTTGTATTATTTTCAGGGTCAGTTTATAGAAGTTCAAGTGACGGACGGAGCACTCTATCGGGGGAACCCATACATCGAGCTTCGAGGATAATCCCAGGCCTTTCAAGTGGTCATAAACTGTTGAATTTGATAAATTTAACCTCAATCCGATCTCACGTGTTGTTATTCGCCGGTTCACATCAACTAATGCCTTTATCGCCTGAACAGCATTTTTACCCTTTCTGTAGTAAAACAGTAAGATATGTCGAAAATGCTGCTTATCGCTCTCCATATTTAAAAGGGCACCAACCAAAAACTACTGCGTAGAATTAAATGGAATTTTTCACACACAAGCCTTGCTATATGAGCTCTCAAAGCATATAAAAATTATACGGCTTAAATGTGAAGTTGGGTGCAAAAGACTACAATTAAATCCTCTGTCGGGAAAAAAACGAAGACTTTCCGAACAACCCTATATTTTCTTCACTTCATCAATGTTTTCGTCTGTTGTCGACATGGTCGGGCGTCCGGAACGCTCTTTGTCTTCCACATTTTCTCGGCCCTCTGAGAACATTTTGTACCACCGATAAACGTTGCTTCAGTCCAAGGTAACTCCACCATATAGGTACCACAACATTCGTCCGCGCACTAAATTTTGTTTTTCACACAAAATTTGATACAGATCCTTTGATCTACTTTTTGGAATAGGCAAAAGTCGAAGACAAGTCAAAACATGTGCAAGAAAAATAACTGCCAAAAATTAACTGAACATTCAACATGGCCGAACTTGTCGGTATAAGTGAGAGACATGAGTACCAACATAACGCCACAAAAGAATCGATTGTGCGTAACCCACGGATACTTTTTAAACGGACCTCGTATGGTATTATATATTACAATGAGACTTGAATGTTTCCTTTTTTATTGTTTCAGACGAACGTAGGACCGATTCTGTTGTGCGTCAATCCATACCGCGACGTTGGCAACCCATTGACGTTAAGCAGTACCAGAAACCTTCCACTCAGTTCCCAACTTAACAAGGTGGTCCAGGAAGCAGTCAGACAACAGTCAGAGACTGGTTATCCGCAGGCTATCATTCTTTCTGGTGAGAGCCGTGTAATAAACACAACAACGCGGACTCACTCTAGTGGTCCGACGGTCGTACCTGCGACGCTCATTTACTTAATATTCCTGTTCTTTTTCTTCTTATTGTTAAAGGAAATAAACGACACTCGTTTTTAACGACAACTTTTTAGATTCTGTTTAAAGGTGTGCTACAAGTAAAAGAAAATGCAACAAAGTCGTCGGTCGATCAGAATGGCCACGGGGTTCAAACCGAGAAAATTCTTATTTCTGTATCTTTATTCGGCAGAAAGAAAGTTACTATCACTAAATGGTATAAAACAAAGTCGCTTTCCCGCTGTCTGTCCCTATGTATGCTTAAACCATTAAAACTACGCAACGGATTTTGATGCAGTTTTTTTTAAAGATAAAGTGATTCAAAAGGAAGGTTTATATGTATAATACATGCATAATATAGTAAGGAAACTGATAATTTTAGAGGTTTCTAATCTGATGTAAATAAACACATTTTTTCCGCTTACATTGCAAACGCTGGCTGAACCCTACGAGATAGATCAAAATAATGTACTACAATATTGTACATCTTAAAAGGGTCTACAAAAAAGTCTGCGATGGTATATGTCTATCGCTTAGGGATAACCCACAATAACCATTTTTATCCTTTACTTTTTATGAAAAATAATGACTTATTTACGAAGCGATTGTAAGCAATACAGCATTAACTCTTATCCAATTAAGTACCTTAAATACGTTGTGCATTTAATATAGATTAATATGGCCCTTTACAGCATGTAATTTAAATTAAAATTTTCGAGGATATTACAGATTTAAAGTGCAGGGACATAGCGGTTGCGGCGGCACCGACCGAGAGGCCGGTTTGTATTGTCTAATGACACAAAAACTGTGAATGTTGTATATAAAAACATTCTGTAGTTTATTTAGTATGTTCAAGGGGTATCTTTTGAAGATTTCCCCTTCTCGATAATAATCAATAAAACTGTCGCATTCTTCTTTCAACTTACTAACTAGACTAGAGCGGCTACTGACAGAACACCTACTTTTACTCACGACAGACTATGTAGGGAACATCGTAAACATAGAAAAGAGATGCCAGGTAGGAATTGCAGCGGACACGTACAAAGAAAATGGAATAACGTTACACCAATTAATGTGTAACAGAAAGAGATGAAAACAAGCAGAATTTGAACATGTTGCTAGCATCGGACTTAAATGTTCAATAAGCTCAAGAATTTAGGAAAGCAAAGACGTTTGTTTAAGGATATAATTCTAGCCAGGCAGTTATAAAGCCGACCCTGATTTTTTGCGTACCTAGAGTACACCTCTTACTATTATTCGGTTATCTCTTTTCACTTTGTCTGTACGACTCATGAAGCATTTTCTAACTTAACAAGGACGTGTTCAAAACACAGCAAATGACTACAGTCTCATGTGGAAACAATAAAGAAGATACGTCCATTCTCACAGATAATTACCCTTTCTGGCTCCGATTTGTTGTAATGTTACTACAAGGAGAAGAAATGGAATTACTGATTTAAATTTACAATAGACTTACGATTAGCTACAGAAATAATACTTATTAGTTCTGAAAATTTACCTTTCATCAACACCACTGCTGTAGGTAGCAGCTTATGCTATCGTTGTTGTTCGCTGTTGTCTCTCGATTATTCCTTTCCATTTTGCACTTTGTATTGTTTCGTTTCAGGTACTAGCGGTTCGGGAAAAAGTCATGCTTCGATGTTGTTGTTACGACAACTTTTTGCGGTGGCGGGCGGAGGCCCTGAAACCGACGCCTTCAAGCATTTGGCGGCCGCTTTCACGGTCCTTAGGTCCTTGGGTTCAGCTAAGACTGCTACCAACTCCGAATCTAGCCGCATTGTAAGTTCACTCAATTTTGATAACGTATTTTTTAATATTTGCTGTTAAAATACCTTAATTCCTTTTCAATGTTCGGAGCCTGCAACTTTATTAAAACGAACTTTATTGTTAGTTAAACACTTTCCCAGATTTATCCGAACTTCTTGTAGCGGTCACGGTATATATCCGAATCCAGAGTTGCGTCTAGTGATGTCATTAGACGCAGCCCTGTGTTTGTGATTAATACAAATTTTAAAAACTAAAATTGCTAATAATATGAAATTTTAAGGGCATAGTGAAAATACTGAGTAGAGATTACACAAAATCGTATAAAAATCGAAAAACAAAAAAAATTTCGGAGCAAGCCCATTAAAACTATTGTTCATCTTAAACTTAAGCGACGTCCTTTGTATTATTTTCAGGGTCAGTTTATAGAAGTTCAAGTGACGGACGGAGCACTCTATCGTACAAAAATTCATTGTTATTTCCTCGACCAAACGCGTGTAATTCGACCATTACCTGGCGAAAAGAACTATCACATCTTCTATCAGATGTTGGCTGGCCTTTCTAAAGAAGAAAGGGCCAAACTCAACCTCGACGGGTATTCACCTTCAAATCTGGCCTATCTTCAGCATGGAGATACCAGGCAAGACATTGCTGAAGACGCATCCAGGTAACATAAACTCCCTTTGCACGAACAGTCTCTTCCTTACACCTGTAAGCAATCAGACGCACAGATTTTGAGATGACCCGAGGGTCAAGGAGATTTTTTTATTACTTTCAGATTCCAAGCGTGGAAGGCATGTCTTGGAGTACTAGGAATCCCTTTTCTGGACGTCGTAAGGGTTTTGGCTGCAGTTCTCATACTAGGAAACGTGCAGTTCATCGACGGGAAAGGTTTGGAAGTAGAAGTAAAGGGTGAGTCAGAACTAAACGCTGTGGCAGCTCTTCTAGGAGTATCTGGAGCAGCCCTCTTTCGGGGACTCACCACGAGAACTCACAACGCCCGCGGTCAACTTGTAAAATCAGTTTGTGACGCCAACATGTCGAACATGACGAGAGATTGCTTAGCAAAAGCTTTATACTGCCGTACTGTAGCCACAATCGTTAGAAGAGCTAACAGCCTGAAGAGATTGGGATCAACATTGGGAACACTGAGTTCCGATTCAAACGAATCCGTTCACAATCAAGCGGAAATCAATAGTCAGCACGCTTCCACGATCGGTGGTAGTAATAACGCCGGAAGTAAATCGATGGCAGCACTTAATAACGCCGTTCGCCATGCCACCGACGGTTTCATTGGAATTCTAGACATGTTTGGGTTCGAAGATCCAAAACCGAGCCAGTTGGAACATTTGTGTATCAATTTGTGTGCCGAAACGATGCAACATTTTTACAACACTCATATATTCAAGTCGAGCATCGAATCGTGTCGCGATGAAGGGATCAACTGCGAAGTAGAAGTGGATTACGTAGACAACGTCCCTTGTATCGATCTGATATCGTCCCTTCGAACGGGACTTCTCAGTATGTTGGACGTGGAATGTTCGATCCGTGGAACCGCCGAATCGTACGTGGCCAAGATGAAGGTTCAACACAAACACAATTCGAGACTGATCGATCCGAAACCTCTGGAAGCGAGACTGTTTGGTATCCAGCATTTCGCCGGGAGAGTGATCTACGACGCGACCGATTTTTTGGACACGAACAAGGACGTAGTGCCGGACGATCTAGTTGCGGTTTTCTATAAACACAGTTGCAATTTCGGTTTCGCGACTCACTTATTCGGCAGCGAACTGAAAGCGTTATACTCGTCGGAAAACGTCCCGAGGGGAATCAGTTTTCGCATATCTCCAACGTCGCACACAGATCTGCTCAATGGGGACGAACCAGTGTCGACGCTCACTCAAGACTTTCACACCAGACTGGATAACCTGTTGAGGACTTTGGTCCATGCGAGACCTCATTTCGTCCGATGTATCCGAAGCAATTCCATGGAAACTCCCAACAGATTCGATCGTGGCACCGTTATGCGTCAAATACGGTCGTTGCAAGTCTTGGAAACTGTTAATCTTATGGCAGGTGGATATCCCCACAGGATGAGGTTTAAAGCTTTCAGCACCCGCTATCGCTTACTCGCACCGTTTGCTCGTCTTCATCGAACCGAAGAAAAAGTTCTGGAGGATTGCAACCTTATCTTGCAGTACGTCATAGATCTTGTGACCCAGAAGCAAAGCACCATGATATCCACCAGTTGGGCAATAGGAAAGAGACACATTTTCTTGAGCGAAAGCATTCGACAACAGCTGGAGAAATTGAGAAACGAAAGTCGACATAAATCGGCTGTTATAATACAGGCAACGTGGAGGGGATACAGACTGCGATGCAAGTGGCCGAACTTAAAGCGGGAAAAAGAACTTCAGCTCAACAGTAATAACAAAAACACAAGTGGTAACAATAATACTAATAGTAATAATAATTTAGGAAAGCCTAATGTGAATCGCGGTGCCAATTCTGGAGCGATCCCTAGGCCCCGTCCTCAACCGATTGCTGGGACTCCACCGCCCGACCCTAACGAAAAATGCGATAACAAAATAATTCAGCAGACGTGTCATTTGTTCGGTTTGGATTTAGAGAGACCGCCACCGGTACCACCCAGCAGGTCTTACACCGTTGCCGGTAACACCAAACTCGGCTACCCTCAAACGAGGGTCATGAAGATGTCGTTTCCGGAAGACGGCAAGGGAGACGCGGTTCTGGTAAAAGGTGAAACCGTTGTGGTTGTCGGAGCGTCCCATAAACGCGGACATCTCGTCGTTGAACACAAACATTTAACGTTACACGTACCTTTTCAGTATTTGGAATTAAAACAAGGTGTAAACATCTAATAAGCCATTCCCGTCTGTCGATTTATTACCAACCCCCTCCTCAAACCCCGTAACTGTTGTAATGTTTCGTCATTTTGTACTAATAATATTTATCAACATGATTGTGTTCATTGTCAATATACGCTTTAAGTGATCAAATATATGTTGAATATTCGTTAAACAAAAAACAAAAAGAACAACAAGGAGTGGTCCCATTAAATGTGCATAAAATTGATCATTTTGTTTACAATTAAAATCTTTTTTTTTATTCGATTTCCTATTGATTTACACAATTTCAAAACACATGGTCGAAACAGACATTGAAATTACTAATGTTGTACTATCGTCATGAACAACAAATATATACATATATGTCTGGAAACACGTCTTCTAGTTACTTTTTCAGCTTTGAAAAATTAAAAACTATGTTTCAGGTAAGGCTAGGTTGGGGGGTGGATGGGTGGTGATGTTAAAAAATATGAACAAGGTTTAAACAACCCCCCTCCGCCCTCTATAACCATCTACATGAAATTTACGCAAGATAATAAAATTATCGACATAACGCAAATATATTATGTAAGACTAGGTTGAGGATGAAAGGGGAAGGGGAAAGGGGGGGGGGGTAAAAATGTGGACACTTTATAAACAACCCCTCCCTCTGCTTGACCGAATGTTACATGAAATATTTGCGGGATGACAACTTCGACATACCCCTTACCTCCCAACCTAATCTTTCGTTAAATATTTGCGAAATTTTGATGACACGTCATGGTAGTTTTTGATTATTCAAAATTGAAAAAAGATGTAGGTGAAGACATGCTTTCCTTACCCAACATATATGTATGTATAATCTTGATTACCATGGCAAATATGGTAGTACCCATAACATACTAAAATTTTAAGGAAACCGGAGAGTATCTCTACCATTATCAAACAGATTTCTAAATATTTTTTGTATTTGTACTTAGTTTTTGATCGCCTGCTAAATTTTCAGTTTCCGTTTCACTTTTTGTTTTTTTTTGTAAAAACCCGGTAGAGGTAATTTAGAATCTCATGGACCATAACCTCAATTACGCATTGACAAAACTCCACTCTTTGCATTGGGCGCCGAGATTTGGAGTTTATACCTAGAGCTTTGTCTCCAGTTGTATAAGGAGGCACAAAGTTAACGGTCGAGTAACAGGTAAATGGTATTATTATTGGGACAGATACCTTGAAAAGAAGCAGTCTTCCACTTCTGACTGACTAAATTTAAATATTGAAACACAACAAATTAAGGACTTAAATTATATGCTGGATAATATTTATGAAGAAAAATTTCGATCTTAGTAAGATTATCAAAAAAATCGGTAACAGTGGTACCCAATATTCCATTTAAATACCTTAAAAACAATAATAAAATACTATATTTCGCTAATTATTATATTATGTACCTAATCAACACATTTTGAAAAAAAATAGACAACATTGTTTGATCACTTTCATCAACGTCCTTTTTTTCTACTGTAGTAAACTGCCATGTCCTTATAGTTTTTAAGTTATTAGTTATTAGAAACCCTTGCCAATAAGAGATATTAAGACGTGTACAAATAAGCCTAAGAAAATTCGTTTATTTAAATATGGAATCTGATTAAACTTTTTTATATGAAATAATCATGCGTTTTTTATTTCATTTATTCCACATTATCCTTTTGTTTTCTCTAGATTTTTTATAAGACAGGTATACTTCTGAATGCAGACTAGGACACAGTTGGGCTGTACTGTTAGTATCGGTACCATCATCATGTTTGTATTTGTCGGTGGTGTTAGAAAAATCACCCCATTTAGATCTAAATATTTAAACGATCAATAATTAGTAAGAATTACGAGGGTGGATTGATAAGTTTCCGGCCTAACCAAGAGATGACGCCACTAGGCCTACCTTGAGGTGACATTCTATAGTACCATCCTTGGATAGCTTGTAGCTATAGTTTCAGCCNTTTGTATTTGTCGGTGGTGTTAGAAAAATCACCCCATTTAGATCTAAATATTTAAACGATCAATAATTAGTAAGAATTATCGCATTTTAGCGTCAAAGGTGTTGTCCCATATGAATAAAGTTCAGAAAAAAATCTGTAAGTCGTTAAAAAAATCATTTATTACTCAATTAATAAATTTACTGTAATTCCATTCTTATGGATCCAAAAAGAAAGATAGTCTAACTCTACAAACATAAAGTATAAAAACATCTACGTCGATGTTCGATAACTCAATTTTCTTTTTTTTTTTTATTACACTATTAAAGATTTGCAATGTGAAATCAATACTATTTGACCTCCCTATAACTTCAGGACGAAAGACTGGTTACTTTCGTATAAATTTAAAAAAAAAGTTTCAAAATGCTAGTTTTGACTGTACATCAAGTAATTTTCAAAATCAAAAGGCTTAGAAAAATCAATTCAAAACAACTTCATGCGTTACGTTTTAGCAACATCTACAAGGTGTAACAGAAATATGTATATTTAACAAAGCATTGTAAAACACGAAAATTAAGTAAGTTTGTTTGACCGAAAGGTCACTGTTTTCAAGAAAAACGTAGTTGAAAGTATAGGTAAAATTCAATTCCGGCCCTGGTAAATATAATATATATAATCGATAATAATCGGCAACGTTTACATTTTTTATCCATGTAGCTGCAAAGTTTTTATTGCAATACGCTATTCGGTAGACACCTATTTTGCCAATTCACGCACAGGACCGGCTTCGGATAGTAAATTATTACGATTTTCTCAAAAAAAAATTTTTTTTGCCCTTAACCACGCTTACCGTGTGCGGTTGTTTATTGCATCTAGTTTACACCCTTCAAAGCTCGGCACATATTTCTGTTGCACCCTGTATTCGTTTATTAATAGGTATATTACCTTACGTAGATGGTTTTTAGAGTGCTTGAAGATGAGTGTAAATCGTCTTGCTCGCTAGGTCTCTTTAAAGAAAAGAAAACTGCCATCTGAAAGATTTTTTTTAATTATTATCTTTGCGCGACTACATACATAATTAAATAGTGGTTAACAAGTTAACAAAAGTATGTCAAAATACAAGAAGTTAATGCAGTTCTCAAAGTATTACGGATTTACCTCGATAATTAAGCAGGATCCACTTAACGATATTTCTATCCAAAGTAATAATATTGCTTTCTTTTCTAATTCAGTTATGCACCCTTGATGGTTAATTGTGGATGAAGAAGGGTCGTAAGGATCACATCCCTCGTTTGAATATTTTGAACAACACGAAAAGGGGATAGAGAAAGCATCGTCGAAGGTATCTTGGAAGTAATCATTATCCCTAATAAGGATAAATTAGAGTTATGCAATTTTAGGGTTAACTACCTCGTAAATTACATTTTTAATAGGCAGTGGTGTAGCATGAATTTCTACCACCCAGAGCGAATGCTAAATTTGCCGCCCTTCTTATTTTCACAGTTCAGATATTTTATTTAAATTGATCAGAATTTCAGTAAAAAGGTGAACAAGTGCTTGAGGACCTTATTTACAAATATAGACTTATATAAATACAAACATACAGTGGGTGCCATTTGTATAATAAATGATTAAATCAAAAAGATACTTTAATTTTTTGTAGCGTTATGTCAATGTATTAGTTAATTAATTTTACCCACTACCGATAACCTCAAGCTAATAATGATATATTGTTGCTGATGTCACTGCCTTGTTGGGGATCGAACCCGAGTTTCTGGTTTTAAGCAGCAGTACTCTACCACTAAGTTACAAGGGGGTGACAATATAATATAATATAATGTATCAAAATATTGTGTGTTGGAAAGGTTGGAAATTAATAAGTATTGGAAAATGTAGGAAAATAGAGGGTGCTATGGAGCTCAATAGGGAAAAAGAATGAAAAGATAGTTAGGACACCTTGTAAAACATGAAGGGATAGTTATAGACGTATTAGAAGTAAAAACAGAAGTAAAAAATGGTAAAGAAAGCCATAATTAGTTTACTGTTTGATGTTCTAGTTTCAGGAAAATGCAAATATTGGAATATTAATGTGAAATTTCATTTCCAATTTTCCATTCACTAGAAACTACCTCAAGTTAAGGACGAAAGATTTGGCTCAGAATTTGAAGGAATTTAGACTTGATGTCCAACCAGTTTTCGCACTGACGATGCCAATTTAGTAATGATAATGATTTTTAAAGATTCGATTGAAACAGTATCATGTTACGAATGTCTCTTTTCTAATTTTATACAATAATCGTAGATACACGTTAAACAGATCTCAAATTGATTTACTAATTTAAATTACACATTATCATTGATGCTATAAAATTCTGCCCACCGAAAATAATTCATTTCATAACTTTCCTAGATTTAAAAGATTATATAAATACGTAATTAACAATCTTCAAGTGAATTAAAAATAAATTTACCGATTTGGATACCAGTCTCTACTTGATGTTGCTCCGCAACATTGTAGAGCAAACTGAACGTTATCGACCAACACTTTGGAGAATAATTTCTCATGATAACTTTTCATCAACTTAACGAAATCGTTTCCTATGTTGCTTCTGTGTTTCAAAATTAAAACAACCATTATAATCGCAACTAAAGTGGCAGACAAATGTAATGTTCCACAAACAATCATTGCAAGACGTTGAAAACAAAACGTATAACCATAGATCTTGCTCATATTAGGAGAGCTTAAAAGAAAAAAGAAATACTAAAAATGTGGATACTTATAACAATACCTAGAAATCTACTAGTTTTGCTTCATTTTTATGGATTACTCAGTTTTTAGTTTCAATGTAGGTAGATACATATTTAATTTTAAGGTAATAAATGTATTATTATGGTAAGACTCACAAGTGCGAAGTTTTCATACGTATTGATGTTGGGAAGGTGATGAATCCTGCTATTAAACCTACTCCTGTAGAATAGTGGCATCCAACAAGGGTAATAACATCTGAGAGGATAACGGACAAAAAGAAGGTAAACAGAAGCTGGCACATACTGACTAGAGACAAACACGTTACAAACACTCCTAGCCATTGTACGTTTGCAATTAGCATTAATATGTAAATATAGCATAACCAAATAAAAAGTAAATTATATGACGGACGTCAACATTTCAATCGAAATGTCACTACGAACAGTCTATGTAGTTAGTTGAAAACACAATGTCAAAAAAGCTTTCTCGTTATCTTCATTTTATTCATTTATTGAGAAATTGGTGGAAAATACAAGAAAATATTGTTTACCACACCTTCTTAGAAGGGTTCGAGGTAGATAAAGGTTTTGATAGGTAGGTTCGAGGACACTTTTCTTGGAAATCTGACAATATTCAGTCGCACGAATGGCTAGATGTTTATGAATATACCTTCTTTTCAACGAAATAAAAAAAAAGTACAGAAACAAATTGGTAAAAGTTTTCGCGGCCAGTAGGTAAATTGTTGCTGCCCCGATTCGGGTCTGAAGACTGTCGTCAGTTGGATTTGCATTCTAACGTTTCGCTAGTATGAGTGGATGTCCGCATCCAGGATCGGAGATGGAAAGATCTCTGAAGAAGATCGCCACTCGTGCTAGCGAAACGTTAGGATGTAACTCCAACCGACGAAAGCCTTTAGACCCGAAGCAAAACAGCATCAGTTAACGTAAAAAGAAGCTTTTGGGTGTTTCATTCCCACCAGTCAGTAATGCTAGTGGGCGGGCAGTCCCTCCAAACTACGCCGGAAGGTAGGGCGGAAGACCCTCTTCAACCTCCTTTCAGGAATCGTGGGAATGGGTGGGTGATGATTAGGGTGAGAGACCGAGCGGCATGGCCTAGAAGTTTAGACCATTGCTTAGCATTCGGGAGGACGCCGGTTCGATTCCGGATCCGTCTGCCTTTGTCCAAGTTTTTCTGTGGTTTCCTTGAATCACTTAGGCAAATTTTGGGGCAGTAATATTCCACAGATAATCTTTCATTCTCTTCTGCCTTCATTTCGTCCGTCTCAACTTTCTCACTTGAACCACCACCCACCCATTCCCACGATTCATGAAAGCAGGCTGAAGAGGGCCTTCCGCCCTACCTTCAGGCGTAGTCCGGAGGGACTGTCCGGCCACCAGCAATATTGGCTGGTGGGAATGAAACAACTAAAAGTTTTTTTTTTCGGGTGAGAAAGATGGGACGGACGAAATGAAGACAGAAGAGAATGAAAGATTATCTGTGGAATATTACTGCTCCAGCATTTGCCTATGTCATCCAAGGAAACCACGGAAAAACCTGGACCGAGACAGGCGGGTCCTGAATCGAATTGGCGTCCTCCCGAATACTAAGCAATGGTCTAAATCTCCAGATCATGTCGCTCGGTTAATGTACGGAAAGTACGATATTTATACCCTATTTAAAAAACGAAAGCGCAACTTTTACTACCGGGTAGGAAGTGGCATTCACTTCTTGTTAGAGAAGGATTTTACAATCTTCTTCATAGTTTCCACCCTCCGCTTCAACTCGGGTGCATTGTATAATCGATTTATTACCATGAGGATTATTTTGTGCTTTCTCGTCCTTGAAATCAGAAAAAAACGTACATTTGGGTCAGGATCAGGATAGGTAAAACGTTCATCCAGGATATCAATCTACACCCAACAGGGAATACCGTACATTCCTCCCTTGGTGCATGACATACTATACTTATGTGCTATTGGTGGTATCAAAAATTATCAATCGCATCAAAAATTGTCAAAAATCCTAAAACTACAACGATTTTATTGTATAGGTACCTACGCAATGTTTGATTAATCCTGTAACACATATCCTTTACTTTTAATAGGTACTTGTCAAATGCCTATTAATGTGGTCAATATATCTAAATGGCATGACATAATCTATAATCTTTCTAATACATAAGTTTAGATTAATCGCCAAATTGTCATTTTCTGATTTTCTATTAGTTTATTAGTTAGTTGTGAGGAGCAGCATCGATCGGGCTGATTTTTGATTAGGAAGAGTCATTATTTGAGAAGAATTGAATCTGCCATACGCCAATTTCCTCTAACATCCTTAATTAGCCGCAAATAGCAGCACCTGCTGGATTGCCTCTTAATTGTATGGAGGAGGAGTCTTTATTCGATATAAAGTTTAAACCACTACTTAGGAAATTAGAAAATGGCGAATTCATGACTGATTTGAATTTATATTAGACAAAGGCGTATTCAGTAGTGTGGCAAATTCTCATTGTTGTACAATTTGTACAGTTGCTATTTAAAAATTTAGAAAAAAGTACCTACAGAATGTGAAGTATTATATATAATCAATATTCGGTTATGAAGTTATTTTTAGTAAAATTTGCATTTGATACTGTTAACTTTTCCACATTTTTTTTTTATTTTATGAGTATGCATACCTTTTTGTAACATTATACAAGTCAAGGAAAAATGGTAGGAGGGGGGCTTTTCTTTATGAATTAATCATCGGGCTAATTGAAAAAATCAGACAATCACAAAACTCTAGTCCTCACAAGTAAAAGACAAGCCGAGAATTGCTACCCCTTGCTAGTAATTGAGAAACTGAAAGGAAATTGGCATATGACTAAACTCGGTTTTTATCCTCCAAACATAAAACATCCCGATAGATGCTGCTCCTTACGGATAATTGCGAAACTAACAGACAACGGGGAAAACTGCGACTTGATGACTCATCTAAACTTATATGGAATAAAAGCTCTTTACAACCAAAGCACAATCCGGTAGATGCTGCTCCCAGCGACTAATTGAGAAACTTTGAAGATATGGGCGTATCAATCTACTCAATTTTAATCAAATCATTAGTCCTTACAATCAAAAGACAACCCCATGGATGCTGCTTTTTGCGACTCATAGACAAACTAATAGAAAATCAGAAAATGACTGACTTGACGATTTATATGAACTAACACTTATGATGTAAGGATTGCGATTGCGATATTTTGTATACGAATATATCAGGTAGAGTGGTCGTTTTTAAGAAACTCGACTTAGGGAACACCCAACAGTCATAAAAAATAAAACACATGTTATTCAAGTTAACAGAACGTTGCGAATACAAAGGCCGTAGGTATTTGTAGGTAATATAATCGAATATGAATTTAAGTTTCACCAAATTAGCCAAAAAATAAGAAACTAATTCGAATTTTTGGAAATTAAGAAAGCTTTGCACTAAAACAAAAATATTGTTAACAATTAAAATGTATTCTCGTTAACCTACTCTTTTCTCTTTTAAACTATAAACTTTAGGGTCTAGGAGATCTCAATTAAAGTCGTAATAACCACATTATACTTTAGTATTGTTTTTCTCTTGATGACGACTTCTTAACTGCAACAATTAATCAAATTTTGTTGAATACATTTGTTGAAGTCCCTTTTTGTGCTTTTCTACTATTGCGTATTTTACACGGTAAGTATTTACACCCATTACCATCTTCGAAAGAGAATATTAGATAATCGCAATAATCAAGTGGATTTAGACGAATTTTGTTAGGTATATCTTCAATCTTTCAATAGCAAATGTGCTCTAAAAACTTTTAAAGGTAAAAGCTTACAAAAGATTGTGTATTTTCTATGTCCGATTAATATGTTGCCCTACCTGTGTATAAAGTTAAAGGTCTCAGCTCTCAAAATTCATCCTCATACTGTCGATATGAATAAAGGTGAGTAAAAGTTATTGTTTTTATTTTATTTGTTACCCTCAGCACACGAACTCGGAAAAGTAAAAACAGTATTTTCAGTTAAACGTTTTAATATTACCTACCTACATGTCCAATATTTTTGATATGAAATAAATACATAAAAAGTAAACAAGATTTAGGATGAAACTAAGGAATTATTAAAATTTCTAATATTAAAACTATCTTCAAAGGGTCCAAATTCTAACATAATCGATTTGCAATGCGGACCCGTCTTCCGTCCAGGTTTTCAGCCATTCGTTTCTTTTATTGAAAAAATGCACCAACATGTTCCTTTCGGGGTTGTTCCACGGCTTGTCGACTTCTCCCGATTTGAAACCGTCCGGGAAATTCGTTATCCCGCCAACTCCCACGCCTATACTCAACCGGAACTGCAACTAAAACCGGAACCTTATTATCTCCTCTTCGTTTCGAAAGGAAGCAGGAAATGCTATAGATAAATTTTAAAACATTCTGCGTATCTATCAGATTAGAAACGACACTGAAAATTGCTCAATCGGCAGGTATCTACTAATAAAGAAAAACTTACGTTATTGTTTTCCGAACTCATATCGGAAAATGCCGAAAACTCGTTTGACTGTACAGTTCCATATGTATAGTTATCAACACCAAAAGTAATTCTATCTAAAAAGAAACCAGTGAAATGTAAAACAGACTCGAACGACATGATGTAATATGTATTTATAAAAGTTTCGGAAACATATATGTAGATGAGGAAGAAACACTTCTTTATGTGGTCAAAGGATTGTCAAGTTTCATTTTTTTATTTTATTTGTGTTAAAATCTAGTAAGGTATATTTAAAATTTCAAATAGTAAAAATTTTTATTTTGTTCAACGAAAAGAATATATTAAAATTGCTTCAAATAGTTTAACTCACAAATAAACCGAAAGTAATAATTTTCCGTTTAGTTTTTCGTTTTTGGTTTTGATTTTTCTTAGGTACTCGGTCTTCGTTTTAGACTTTGTTTATTCGATCTTGCTTTTAGTCTTGTTCGTTCGGTCTTGGTTTTGGCCTTACTAGTATAAACACAGTCTTAGTCTTGGTCTTGAGTATTTTAATCATCATTTTCCACTTTAGAAAATGTGTATTATATTGCTTAAGGTGAGTGGAAAATTGAGCGGTTCTATATCTCTGAGAAAATAAACGTTGTTTGTTATACTTTATCATCATCATAAGGTTGTCAGCCCTTAGACTGGTTAGACACCCACCTCCACTTTTTCCTATCCTGAGCTAAATCTAGAACAACCCACATCCTTAACTATTTACAAACAGTAATCTAATCTAGGTCTACCTCTACCCCTCCTAACTCCCGTTTCTGCCTCTAATATGTCTCTGGCTAGACCTTCATGCCTGAGAAGGTGTCCTACCAACCTATCNGTTCAAGATGTACTACTGCAAAAAATATTTAAAATTTTGAAAACTTAAATGAATATTAGGTAATAATTGGTAAAAATATGACAGATTTGTTTACAGTCGTACCATTTAAAATTACATTAAGATTTCGACATCGAACAATAAGCGTAACAAAGTTTACTATAAGAAAAAAAAAACGAACCTAAAATTATGATAGAAGCTTTGTACTTACTGGGGTAAATCCAATCTCCAGCAGGTAACTTGCATCTGATATAAACGGTTCCAAATTTAAACGATTTCTTTGAATAAATTCTAGCAGACTTAACAAGCGGTAGCAAAAATGCAGACTTCTGCTGGTAGAAACATTCAAGAGGAGACTTATCTCCGGCTGTACATCTAACAGTAAGCAAAACATCGATCATATTTACTTCATCTCTTATTAAGGTATTTTAGGGCAAATTATGTTTAAGTCGAAAAGGGAATGATTTGTTAATGAACATAAAAAGTAGACTGTAATCAAAAACAAAAAACAATTGCATTACCCATTTCGTAGATCCAAATCACCTCGTACATCTGCTTCGTCTCTATGAGGAACGGGTCGAAGAAATAGCGTTGAATTTTTTATGAAAATCGTTTCTTCACTATTTAGATAAGAATTGAATTCGTAATCCTTAAAACAAAACAACAATAAATAGAAAAGAGAAATATAAATACTCATTGCACTAAGAGTATTTCATCAGGTGGAATCAAGGAAACGTCAAGGTTTATCCGGAATGTTTTCAAATACGCTAAGCAATATTTGATATATAGTTTCAAATTGTGATTTTTTAACAATAACTGTAATAAAGCTTCTAGTTTTTTTATCGCATTATCTAGCAATTTACTGGCTATCATCAGATAGCTCTATCGAAAAAAAAATCAATTGGAAAATCCTCAAAATCGCTTAAAATACATGGACGCGTTACCGATATCCCTTGAGGGTTTCCACTTTCATGCTTCCGTTTGTCACAATTTCTTGGAAGACACTGTATTGCTTACTTACGGGTCCAGTATACGTTGGTATTCTATGTTCTATCTGCCAAACACTTTGATTTAGTGATTTTGTTTTGAACGTGTCTTCAAATATAACAGTTCCTTCACATAATAAATCTGAATTGGGGAAACCTGTTATTTCCTCATACGGTTTAAGCACTACAAAGATGAAAATAGTCGAAAATAATTTTAATTAAAATAGAAGCTTTATTAGAAGGAAGTGCAACGAAAATTATTTATTAGATCTTATAGAACAGTTTAAATTATTTGTATTTTATTTCACGTCTTCCTTTAGGCGAAATTTCGTTATAATAAATATAATAAACATTATATAAAATGCCTTTCAGTTGACAAGAATTTCTTTATTAAAGATTAATCAAATCTAACATACGAGGGTGGATTGATAAGTTTCCAGCCTAACCAAGAGATGACGCCACTAGGCCTACCTTGAGGTGACATTCTATAGTACCATCCTTGGATAGCTTGTAGCTATAGTTTCAGCCCGATCTCCTTGCTAGTGTAGGTTTGACAGCACGCTGAACAAGACGCCTCTGTGGTTTTCGTAAAAATGGAAAAGCAGGAAAATCGTGCTNCTTCTGCCTTCATTTCGTCCGTCTCAACTTTCTCACTTGAACCACCACCCACCCATTCCCACGATTCATGAAAGCAGGCTGAAGAGGGCCTTCCGCCCTACCTTCAGGCGTAGTCCGGAGGGACTGTCCGGCCACCAGCAATATTGGCTGGTGGGAATGAAACAACTAAAAGTTTTTTTTTTCGGGTGAGAAAGATGGGACGGACGAAATGAAGACAGAAGAGAATGAAAGATTATCTGTGGAATATTACTGCTCCAGCATTTGCCTATGTCATCCAAGGAAACCACGGAAAAACCTGGACCGAGACAGGCGGGTCCTGAATCGAATTGGCGTCCTCCCGAATACTAAGCAATGGTCTAAATCTCCAGATCATGTCGCTCGGTTAATGTACGGAAAGTACGATATTTATACCCTATTTAAAAAACGAAAGCGCAACTTTTACTACCGGGTAGGAAGTGGCATTCACTTCTTGTTAGAGAAGGATTTTACAATCTTCTTCATAGTTTCCACCCTCCGCTTCAACTCGGGTGCATTGTATAATCGATTTATTACCATGAGGATTATTTTGTGCTTTCTCGTCCTTGAAATCAGAAAAAAACGTACATTTGGGTCAGGATCAGGATAGGTAAAACGTTCATCCAGGATATCAATCTACACCCAACAGGGAATACCGTACATTCCTCCCTTGGTGCATGACATACTATACTTATGTGCTATTGGTGGTATCAAAAATTATCAATCGCATCAAAAATTGTCAAAAATCCTAAAACTACAACGATTTTATTGTATAGGTACCTACGCAATGTTTGATTAATCCTGTAACACATATCCTTTACTTTTAATAGGTACTTGTCAAATGCCTATTAATGTGGTCAATATATCTAAATGGCATGACATAATCTATAATCTTTCTAATACATAAGTTTAGATTAATCGCCAAATTGTCATTTTCTGATTTTCTATTAGTTTATTAGTTAGTTGTGAGGAGCAGCATCGATCGGGCTGATTTTTGATTAGGAAGAGTCATTATTTGAGAAGAATTGAATCTGCCATACGCCAATTTCCTCTAACATCCTTAATTAGCCGCAAATAGCAGCACCTGCTGGATTGCCTCTTAATTGTATGGAGGAGGAGTCTTTATTCGATATAAAGTTTAAACCACTACTTAGGAAATTAGAAAATGGCGAATTCATGACTGATTTGAATTTATATTAGACAAAGGCGTATTCAGTAGTGTGGCAAATTCTCATTGTTGTACAATTTGTACAGTTGCTATTTAAAAATTTAGAAAAAAGTACCTACAGAATGTGAAGTATTATATATAATCAATATTCGGTTATGAAGTTATTTTTAGTAAAATTTGCATTTGATACTGTTAACTTTTCCACATTTTTTTTTTATTTTATGAGTATGCATACCTTTTTGTAACATTATACAAGTCAAGGAAAAATGGTAGGAGGGGGGCTTTTCTTTATGAATTAATCATCGGGCTAATTGAAAAAATCAGACAATCACAAAACTCTAGTCCTCACAAGTAAAAGACAAGCCGAGAATTGCTACCCCTTGCTAGTAATTGAGAAACTGAAAGGAAATTGGCATATGACTAAACTCGGTTTTTATCCTCCAAACATAAAACATCCCGATAGATGCTGCTCCTTACGGATAATTGCGAAACTAACAGACAACGGGGAAAACTGCGACTTGATGACTCATCTAAACTTATATGGAATAAAAGCTCTTTACAACCAAAGCACAATCCGGTAGATGCTGCTCCCAGCGACTAATTGAGAAACTTTGAAGATATGGGCGTATCAATCTACTCAATTTTAATCAAATCATTAGTCCTTACAATCAAAAGACAACCCCATGGATGCTGCTTTTTGCGACTCATAGACAAACTAATAGAAAATCAGAAAATGACTGACTTGACGATTTATATGAACTAACACTTATGATGTAAGGATTGCGATTGCGATATTTTGTATACGAATATATCAGGTAGAGTGGTCGTTTTTAAGAAACTCGACTTAGGGAACACCCAACAGTCATAAAAAATAAAACACATGTTATTCAAGTTAACAGAACGTTGCGAATACAAAGGCCGTAGGTATTTGTAGGTAATATAATCGAATATGAATTTAAGTTTCACCAAATTAGCCAAAAAATAAGAAACTAATTCGAATTTTTGGAAATTAAGAAAGCTTTGCACTAAAACAAAAATATTGTTAACAATTAAAATGTATTCTCGTTAACCTACTCTTTTCTCTTTTAAACTATAAACTTTAGGGTCTAGGAGATCTCAATTAAAGTCGTAATAACCACATTATACTTTAGTATTGTTTTTCTCTTGATGACGACTTCTTAACTGCAACAATTAATCAAATTTTGTTGAATACATTTGTTGAAGTCCCTTTTTGTGCTTTTCTACTATTGCGTATTTTACACGGTAAGTATTTACACCCATTACCATCTTCGAAAGAGAATATTAGATAATCGCAATAATCAAGTGGATTTAGACGAATTTTGTTAGGTATATCTTCAATCTTTCAATAGCAAATGTGCTCTAAAAACTTTTAAAGGTAAAAGCTTACAAAAGATTGTGTATTTTCTATGTCCGATTAATATGTTGCCCTACCTGTGTATAAAGTTAAAGGTCTCAGCTCTCAAAATTCATCCTCATACTGTCGATATGAATAAAGGTGAGTAAAAGTTATTGTTTTTATTTTATTTGTTACCCTCAGCACACGAACTCGGAAAAGTAAAAACAGTATTTTCAGTTAAACGTTTTAATATTACCTACCTACATGTCCAATATTTTTGATATGAAATAAATACATAAAAAGTAAACAAGATTTAGGATGAAACTAAGGAATTATTAAAATTTCTAATATTAAAACTATCTTCAAAGGGTCCAAATTCTAACATAATCGATTTGCAATGCGGACCCGTCTTCCGTCCAGGTTTTCAGCCATTCGTTTCTTTTATTGAAAAAATGCACCAACATGTTCCTTTCGGGGTTGTTCCACGGCTTGTCGACTTCTCCCGATTTGAAACCGTCCGGGAAATTCGTTATCCCGCCAACTCCCACGCCTATACTCAACCGGAACTGCAACTAAAACCGGAACCTTATTATCTCCTCTTCGTTTCGAAAGGAAGCAGGAAATGCTATAGATAAATTTTAAAACATTCTGCGTATCTATCAGATTAGAAACGACACTGAAAATTGCTCAATCGGCAGGTATCTACTAATAAAGAAAAACTTACGTTATTGTTTTCCGAACTCATATCGGAAAATGCCGAAAACTCGTTTGACTGTACAGTTCCATATGTATAGTTATCAACACCAAAAGTAATTCTATCTAAAAAGAAACCAGTGAAATGTAAAACAGACTCGAACGACATGATGTAATATGTATTTATAAAAGTTTCGGAAACATATATGTAGATGAGGAAGAAACACTTCTTTATGTGGTCAAAGGATTGTCAAGTTTCATTTTTTTATTTTATTTGTGTTAAAATCTAGTAAGGTATATTTAAAATTTCAAATAGTAAAAATTTTTATTTTGTTCAACGAAAAGAATATATTAAAATTGCTTCAAATAGTTTAACTCACAAATAAACCGAAAGTAATAATTTTCCGTTTAGTTTTTCGTTTTTGGTTTTGATTTTTCTTAGGTACTCGGTCTTCGTTTTAGACTTTGTTTATTCGATCTTGCTTTTAGTCTTGTTCGTTCGGTCTTGGTTTTGGCCTTACTAGTATAAACACAGTCTTAGTCTTGGTCTTGAGTATTTTAATCATCATTTTCCACTTTAGAAAATGTGTATTATATTGCTTAAGGTGAGTGGAAAATTGAGCGGTTCTATATCTCTGAGAAAATAAACGTTGTTTGTTATACTTTATCATCATCATAAGGTTGTCAGCCCTTAGACTGGTTAGACACCCACCTCCACTTTTTCCTATCCTGAGCTAAATCTAGAACAACCCACATCCTTAACTATTTACAAACAGTAATCTAATCTAGGTCTACCTCTACCCCTCCTAACTCCCGTTTCTGCCTCTAATATGTCTCTGGCTAGACCTTCATGCCTGAGAAGGTGTCCTACCGACCTATCTCGCCTATTTTTTTATTGACTTCCATAGAGTCCTCTGTTCTCTTATTCTTTCTAATACCTCTTCATTTCTAATCTTCTCCATCCACGGTATCCTCATCATTCGCCTGTTTTAACACCACATTTCGAACGCTTCTAACCTTTTCTTTTCCGCCGCGCCCACCGTGCATGTTTCGCACCCGTACAGCGCCGGATTCCAAACATATACCTTTAACAATCTTTTTCGAATTTCTAAAATAACTGTTCGCAAGCATAGAAGTGACTTTTTATTAAAGGCGACTCGACCGTGCGCTATCCTCTGCTTTATATCCCTACTATTCCTTCCGTCCTGACTTATCTGATTTCCTAGATACCTAAAATCAGCCACTTCTTCTAATTTTTCGTCTCCTATCTTTATATTTGCTCATTCCCTATTTTTTCTTCCCTCGCATACCAGTAGTTTTGTTTTACTTTTATTTATTTTCATACAGTACTGTTTTGTATTGACAAAAACCATTTCTAACTCCTCCTTGCTAGATGCTAATACTGCTATATCATCTACTTTGGAATTAAAATTTATGGTAAAAATCAATAAAGCTCTACACGCTGCCAAATAACGCATTCCTCTTAGTAATCCCTATCAAATGATACCCGACATGATACATAAAATTAAAAAACAAATTCTAAGCATGCACTTAAGCACTCGCTTTGCCCATTTCTATCTTTAGTTTTCTGGTGTGACACATTAATCAATAAAACAAACAAATTACAAAAATTGTCAAACCTGGTTTCCACACCAACTTGTAAGTATGAAACTCCTTGAAGAATGGTGTATCAGACCTAACCGTTCGCAAAAATCTACTTCGTCCAGGCTCACTATGATCAAAAATTGGCCCTCCGAACAAAAGCCTCGAGCCCAAATCATTACCACCTGCACCATAAAGTCGATCGTTTCCTCTGGAGAATGCTATCCATATCATTGGAAGATTATTGTTTGAATTAACTGGTTCAAGATGTACTACTGCAAAAAATATTTAAAATTTTGAAAACTTAAATGAATATTAGGTAATAATTGGTAAAAATATGACAGATTTGTTTACAGTCGTACCATTTAAAATTACATTAAGATTTCGACATCGAACAATAAGCGTAACAAAGTTTACTATAAGAAAAAAAAAACGAACCTAAAATTATGATAGAAGCTTTGTACTTACTGGGGTAAATCCAATCTCCAGCAGGTAACTTGCATCTGATATAAACGGTTCCAAATTTAAACGATTTCTTTGAATAAATTCTAGCAGACTTAACAAGCGGTAGCAAAAATGCAGACTTCTGCTGGTAGAAACATTCAAGAGGAGACTTATCTCCGGCTGTACATCTAACAGTAAGCAAAACATCGATCATATTTACTTCATCTCTTATTAAGGTATTTTAGGGCAAATTATGTTTAAGTCGAAAAGGGAATGATTTGTTAATGAACATAAAAAGTAGACTGTAATCAAAAACAAAAAACAATTGCATTACCCATTTCGTAGATCCAAATCACCTCGTACATCTGCTTCGTCTCTATGAGGAACGGGTCGAAGAAATAGCGTTGAATTTTTTATGAAAATCGTTTCTTCACTATTTAGATAAGAATTGAATTCGTAATCCTTAAAACAAAACAACAATAAATAGAAAAGAGAAATATAAATACTCATTGCACTAAGAGTATTTCATCAGGTGGAATCAAGGAAACGTCAAGGTTTATCCGGAATGTTTTCAAATACGCTAAGCAATATTTGATATATAGTTTCAAATTGTGATTTTTTAACAATAACTGTAATAAAGCTTCTAGTTTTTTTATCGCATTATCTAGCAATTTACTGGCTATCATCAGATAGCTCTATCGAAAAAAAAATCAATTGGAAAATCCTCAAAATCGCTTAAAATACATGGACGCGTTACCGATATCCCTTGAGGGTTTCCACTTTCATGCTTCCGTTTGTCACAATTTCTTGGAAGACACTGTATTGCTTACTTACGGGTCCAGTATACGTTGGTATTCTATGTTCTATCTGCCAAACACTTTGATTTAGTGATTTTGTTTTGAACGTGTCTTCAAATATAACAGTTCCTTCACATAATAAATCTGAATTGGGGAAACCTGTTATTTCCTCATACGGTTTAAGCACTACAAAGATGAAAATAGTCGAAAATAATTTTAATTAAAATAGAAGCTTTATTAGAAGGAAGTGCAACGAAAATTATTTATTAGATCTTATAGAACAGTTTAAATTATTTGTATTTTATTTCACGTCTTCCTTTAGGCGAAATTTCGTTATAATAAATATAATAAACATTATATAAAATGCCTTTCAGTTGACAAGAATTTCTTTATTAAAGATTAATCAAATCTAACATACGAGGGTGGATTGATAAGTTTCCAGCCTAACCAAGAGATGACGCCACTAGGCCTACCTTGAGGTGACATTCTATAGTACCATCCTTGGATAGCTTGTAGCTATAGTTTCAGCCCGATCTCCTTGCTAGTGTAGGTTTGACAGCACGCTGAACAAGACGCCTCTGTGGTTTTCGTAAAAATGGAAAAGCAGGAAAATCGTGCT